ATAAAAAAATAATAGTCAAAGAAATAATATAGAAAATATATATATGATATAAATGAATTATTATTATTATTATCATTATTATATTTTCTATAAATAAATAAGTTAGTATTATTAATAAATAAGTAAAAAAATAAATTTCATTTATGTTACATGTGTTACTACATAAAATTATATGGGCAACATTGAATGTAATATATGATAAGCCTTATGATGAATACTATTTACTTATAAAAATTAAATAACATATGGTAAATAAAATAATTAAATAAAAGAATAAATTTTAATAAAATATATATATATATTAAATTAATTTCTTAAAATTTATTATTACATTAAAATTCTAATTAAATATTTTTTTTAGATATTCTAAATTATTAATAATAACAATATTATAACTATTTTAATTAAATGAATATTATAAATAAATTAATGTAATAAAAAATATATATATATACATGGCAAGGAGGGGGCCACGTGGGTCACACCTCTAAAGCCACATCCTAAGTGAAATGATGTAATACCAATGAGGTATGAGTAATGATGTCAAAAATAAAATAAAATAAATAAAATAAAAATAAGAACGTAAAAAGAAAGAAAGAAGTGGTGAGTCATCATATTGCATCTATATAAATTGATAACAACAACATCATTCAGTGGTCATTTTCAAGCAATCAAGAGTAAATTTCGTTACTTTGTTACGGTGAAGGGATCAAGCAATCAGAGTAAATTTCATTGCTTTGTTACGGAGAAAAAAAGAGAGAGACGTAGAAATAAGTAAAAGGTAATATTGAGATAGTAAAATCTTCTCTCTACTTTCTTCTCTTCAATCATATTTTTATATATATATATTTAGAAAGTTATATGTTGTTGTTATGCCAAAATGTTCTCTTAATTTCTTCTCTTCTTTAGTAATGTTTTTTTTTATCTATTAATTTTACCTTAATCTTTCTTTTAATTTTGTTATGCTTGTTATGTTAATATGATTCTTTCAGATTTTGAATTTTTATTTTCATACCAATTGAATATTAAAAGAATGTGTAAATTTTATCTTAATAATACTGCTATGAAGTGACCCACAAAGTTTGGGATCAAAAGGTTTGAGGGTAAGGGACGCCTTATCATGGCTTGAGCTCCGCCATATTATAACCTTTCACATGCAGGAAACCCACAAAATTGGGAATTAAATTAGCTACAGATAAATATTACGAGATTGCATATTAATATTTGTGATATTATTCCAATTTATGAGAATTACTTGAGAGATTAATATTTTCCGTTATCACGGCTGGAAATGGTTATAGTTCAAAAATCTCAATATTACTGAGAATTATCTCACATTGTTTTATTTTGTGCTAACCTTTCCAGAAAATCATCATGCCTAACTTGTCTTTTTCTGGAGAAGGATGGACTGTGAATGTTTATTTTTATGACGATCGTTGGTAATTTTACATAACAGTTGGAAACCAAGGAGCGGCAGCTATATTCCATGCAGACAGTGTGGAGTCCTATACCTATAGGTTAGATTAGTCTGAGAAGTATGTAAGGAATAAACAGTGTAACTTGATGTAGTAGGAATGTAATATATATTTGTGGAACCATTGTAAAATATTTAGGATGTAATATATTTGTACTAACTTACATCCATGTGTAATAAATGAAGGATGTTAGCGTTTTTAGTTAATTTTTTTAGATTTATTTTTATTATACTCTTATTTAATTATTATAGCTTTAAAAAAAATTATACGATATTCTTTATACTAGAAAAATCTAAGGTTGTTACATAACCCCATGTCATCAGTTCGTGCGAAAATTTTCGACATAATTTCTTTTTCATCAAAAATTTCAACGGAATTTTTTTTGTTGAAAATTTCGAAGCAAATTTATTTCCATAAAAAATTTTGAAATGGATAAAATTTTTTGTCTCCTTTCGACGAAGCGTACTTTGATGAAAAAATTCGGTTGAGGAAATATTTTTCGACGAAATTTTCATTGTTTGTAACGAAAAAATTCAATAAAAAATATGATTGTTTTTAGCAATATGAAAAGTACATGAATCATTTTTTTAGAAATTTTAAATTTAATTTTATTTGTAAAGTGTAATAAGGGAGGTTATATTTACCACTATTTTTTCTTACCACTTCTTATCATTAAATCTTAATCATTGATTTCTGTCAATATAACAGTTATAATTTGTTAGATTACACTTATTAATTAATTATTAATTTCAAATAAATTATAACCGTTAGATTGATGAAAATCAACGATTAATGGTAAAAAGTGGTAAGAAAAAATGATGGTAACTATAACCTATTCTAAGTGTAATATTTATGGGTTTTATAAGAGTTATATTGTAGAAAAAATGATTGTGTCATGTTACTGAGATTCGTTTTTCGTGCCTTAATTTTTTTTTTTTTTGCTTCAAAAAATGCGAGTCCTATAAAATGTTGTGTGTAGAAAACTTTACCATGTCATGTTAAAGGACAAACGAAAACCCCAATAATTATATTAGTTTTTAAAGAAAAGGTAAAATGATGGAAATATCTCATTAACTCTCTATTTTTCTCTCTTATCATATTTTTAACTCTCAAATAAGGAAAGAAAATACCTTTTCCATTGGATCATCTTCCTTTCCTTTTTCTCTAAACTCTCAAACAAAGCCTAAAGCTCTACTGCGTCCAAACTAACCAAGCAGAGGTTTGATTTTCCATAACAGTGACTCCATCCCGGTTTATACAACGGATCTCATCTTCCTACATGGGTTGAACGGATACAATACACGCTCTCCAGTACACAATGCAAATAAATGTACTTCTCCTTAGCATTGACATTAAGAATAAATGGATATGAAATTCATTGGTTAAAGCATAATATATTTGTTATATTTTCGCCAACAATCTCTACAGTCACAGGGTACCAAATGGGTTTTCCCCTTATCGTGTATACAAGTTTCATCACATCTCCTACACAATGCCCTAAAATGGCTTCTAGATGACTCGTTTACAAAGAGAAAACCCAAGCTGAGGATAAAAAAGCCCAATTAAAAAGTCTTTTGCTAGTTACAAACTCACAATACGAGTTGGATTCAAGTAAGCTAAAAACCCAAACACCGTAAGTGGTAAGCATTCATGTGATTATTAGCCTTCACAATCAATAAACACCCAATGACATTCGATGGGGAACAACATCTACATCGCTGTTAACTGTACTGTTAATCAAATAAGAGCGATGATTATCTGTTCAAATTTTGCAGAGTAGCATATAATATTCTCCCATTCGCACTTGTTGAATAATTTATCATTCTAGACGAGATATTGAACAAACGAAAATTGAGTATAAGTTTGGAATAAAGAAAGAGTGAAAGACGTCCTTGGCTCCTCTTGATTCATTTTAAAAGATGAAATGAACTAATAGCCATCGATGAAAACAATCAAGAGTTGAAGTTTTATTAAATTGTAAAAGCATGGATAACATAGAAAGGATTTGTTTAAATCTCTACAATTGATTTTTTTTTATTAATTAATATCAATAGTTCATTCTATTATAAAAAGTGAATTTATGAGTGTCGATTTCTAAAGCGTGAAGCCGTACATTTACAAATCAGCTGGGGTACACTAATTGAATATCTCTCCACCTGCACATTGAGTAACTGAAGAAATTTATACAGTAAACTGATAAATTCTACCTAGCATATTTAAATGGTAAAAATCTACTCAACAAATTAATAGCCACAAATAAACACAAGTTCTCCATTTAGATTAGGTTATTTTTGTGTTAAAGAGAACTTGCAATCAAACTCTGATTGAAAGAAATTTTTAAGAAAAATTATTTCTTCTCTAAAATTTAATCAACACTAAACATGCAGTCAATACTAGAAATCAGCAATGTTCACCGAGGACGACAAAAAAAAATATTAACATTACCAATCAAGCCACCATACAAGCAAACTTAACAAAAAGCTAAGGTTCCTAATGGCTGTACAAGAACACATACATAATTAAAACTAGCTAAGAATAGCCTAAAAAAACACTCAAGTTGAGAGGGAAAGAATCTTCAAAATTTCCACATCATCTTTCCTGCTGAGCTGCATCAATACAAGATAGTTGGAAAACAATCAGATTGCTGCACTTTTGATATGATTATATCACCAAGAACACATAAAAATTTCCTTCTATTACACAGTTGAGGAAAAAATAAAATAAAATTACGCACTTGCATAGTGAGACCCAGATGCATTTCCTTCACTAGTGTCAAAGTTTATGGGATACTGAACTGAAATCAAACCTTCGTCTGCTGCAACTGCTGCCTCAGGCGAAGCCATTGACCCAACAGCAGCACTACTTGCAGATCTGATTCCTGCAAGCAAAGTCTAGCAACATGAGTGTTTCACAAAGAACAGACTTCCAAATGAGAGTTTGATGCTCATTACAAGCCAGATACACCTTACAGTTTGAAGATGAAGCGAAATTTTTTTGCTGAAAAACATCGTTAAAGTAAGATATATTTTACACGATAAACACCTATTTAATGAAAGCCGATTTTAACATGTCTATATATACTTACAGTTGCATTGACAAAGCTGTAAAAGCACAGAATAATACTATTTATGCAGCAACTCTAGGCCCTTCCAGGGCAGAAAGGCAGTAACCACATCAAGAGGTTTTAAACACTGGGGCATTTTCCAACACATTGAAAGAAAATCAATAAATCCTTGGCTCCAAAAGTAGGTTTACAATGTCTCAAGATGTTCAATCGAGATTCAAGAAGGTAGGTCAATGTAATTCCCCATCATATATACTCATAGGAGGATATAGTTTCCTTGTAACATAAAGCATATTCAATGCCACAGAATCCACCATTATAATGGGAAATGATAATTTAGTATCAGGGTACATCCTCAAAGCCGTCAAGCTATATCTAAATTCATAGCCAGATTTGAGTGGATTGTGACCATGAAATACGTATATTGAATCAGAGATGAGACTGATCTCACAAATACATGCATAAAATAAAATACAACTCATAAGTTTTGTCAAATCAGTATACATATTTGATTCCAAAATAGAGCTTGTTATTTGTTTCCATGATGAAAGAGTGGTAAAAAGTAAATCAGACCCTAGGATGTGCCCTATAATATCTTGGTGATAATGAAGTTACACAGTACACTCCATTTGACAAGTTTTTGTCTCAGTTAAGATAGATCTTAGGTGTAAGAGTCAGAAAAAATGGCCATGCCTTAAATATATATATTGAGAAGTAGTCAACTAATTACTTAACAATAGAATGCTTGGACACATTACAACTTACCATAAGGGATAAATATGAGAAAAGAAAACAGGAAAAAAGTGGGCATAAAGTAAATCAAGTTTCAAGTTTGGGCCATTAATATATACGTTACACTAGTCCCAGTTGCAATGCAAATGAACCCAAGCCAATGTACCAATATAGGCAGCTCTATGTTTCAGATTTATGTACAAAATCAAAAGAATAAATGCTTGTTTTAGTATTTATGGGAAGACAACTTAGCTGTTCTGTTCAAGTTTGCAAGGCCACATATATATGGCACAGCACCAATTTGAGATGTAATGATATGTAGTACCAGTAAACAAAAAGTGTGTGTTTGGATTATCTTATTTAATGTTAAAAAATAACTGCTTATAATCAAAATAAAATAAAATACTAAAAATTAATCAAAACCAATTACAGCATATGGAAGACAAATGCAACAAAAGAACTGCTTACCGTGGAATATTATGACAAAGAAGAAGAAAATAGTGATGACCATGGCAGAAAGACTGGTAAATGTTGATGATGATGATGATGACGAAGACGACTTGTTTGCTTTCATCTTTCTTACTGCTTTCATTTTCTTAATCCTTGCACGCTTCCTCAAGGCAAGCTCAGCAAGTTCCTTCACAAACTTCTGATCACCAGCATCTAGTGAAGGACCTTTAGGAGGCAGGGGTGGCTTTGGAGGCTTCCTTGGGTTAGTGGGTTTAGTCTTCTGTTTTGTATGATTACCATTTACATGAGACAATTGCTCTGGGACATGTTCCAAACCCTTGTCCACCAACAATTCTAAATTATTTTCATCCACAGCCCCAACATCACCAGATTTTGCTGAATAACTACATGACTCAATCCCACTTTTACTTTTACCCTTATCTGACCCATCAAAATTTAGAATCCCATTCCACGCCCAATTAAAAGCACTCTTCGATTCTCTCTCATTGCTTGCATCCTCTTCGCTAGTACTCCCACCACTTTCAAGGTCAAATTCAACGTCTTTCTCTCTCGGAATAGTATGGCCCATCTGATGTAAATCAATTTCACCAACAAAGGAGTTTCAATTTTAAAAACCCAGCTCCCAATCACGCAAAAGATAAAATTTTCAATGTTTAAAAGCTTAAACAGATTACTCAAAAGCAATGAATTCAAAAATTAAGATGAAAATAAAATAAAAATAGATAGCGAATCGAGATTGAATAAGAAGAATTTGAAGGAGGAGGTGGTACCTTAAGTCAGAGGGAAGAACCCTAGAATCGATGGTATGCTAGAAACATTCCTAACTAGGAATCTGTCGATGCCCGCAGGCGCACACATACACAGGCAAGACATTAATTAAAAACAAATAATAAAAATAAGAATTTAAGAATTTTCTCTTTTAATAATGGCCAATGGTTTTTCTCTTTCCTTTATTATTTATTTGTTTTCTTTTTAAAATATTTTTAATGAAGGTGGAACATCAATGGTTGAAACTTGAAAGGTGTTGTTTTCTTTGGAATAAGAGTCAACAGACTCACTCTGCCTTCCCAAGTTCCAAGTTCCAAGTTCCACTAGAAGACGGCAACGGCTATTTCCTGATTGTATACATTGACATTATTCATTACGAGTCAATAATTTCTTTTTTTATAAAATAAAAACTAGTTAATACATGTAGTTAAATAAAAATGTATTCATAAATCATATAATGACTTAGGGGTGTTTGCGGTCCGGATTGGATCGGTTTTGGAAGCAAAAATCATCCGATCCAATCCCTTCGATTTGATCATATAATCATCCATTCGGTTTGGATTTTTTTTCATATCTGATCCGATCCGATTCAATTTTTTTCGGTTTGGATTAGATCGGTTTTTCGGTTTTTTGAAAATTCTAAAATTTATTTCATGATTATTGTGCAAATAACATCTCTGTATATATTGTCTTTGTAAATTATTATTTTTTGAAATACAAAAACATTAATAAACTATAATATAATTATTTTTTTTGACAATGAGATATGAAGCTCTACAAAGATAAAATTTTGTTGATGAGATGTGATTAGATTTTTTCTTGGGTTTAGTTAATGGGTTAATGGGTCTTGGGTTTAGAAATTTTTAGGTTATGATTAGGGAAAGACCCAAGTAGAGGGGAATTAATATATTGGATCGGTTTTCATCAACCCATCCAAAAACCGATCCAATCCAATAAAAAGTTGCGGTTTTTTTTCAGTTTTCGATTTTTCGGTTTTCGGTTTATTCGATTTTCGATTTTTCGGATCGATTACCGCGGTTTGAATCGATTTGGATCGGTTGATGAACACCCCTATTAATGTCATCATTATTTGAATACATACATGTAGGCAAAAAAATTATTTGATATTATTTTTCAAATAAGAAATTAAAAAATGTAATAATTTGAAATTAATTTACGGATCTATAGTAACCAGTCGCGTCCAAAATTGAGCGGGACTGGTAGCGCCCTGATTTAGGTGCAATGAGTTCTTAGTCGCGCCCTATTTTGGGAGCGAGTGCACAAGCCAGCACCTCTATAAATACCCCCATTTCATTTTTTTCACGTCACTCCTCCTCTCTAAGTTTTTGTTTCGACTTCTGTATAGATTTCTTGTTGAGTTCTCTTTTAAGTTTTTGGCGCAACAAAGCTCTGTCAGGCAAGTAAATCTTAATATCTACTTTTTATATTTTTAAATTACAGCAGTAAATATGTTATACTAGTAACTTAGAAAATTGTACTAGTAACTTAGAAAATTGTTAGCGACTTATTATATGAATAGTTACTTAGGATATACTTTCTGCAACATAACATGCTTAGTGGCTTGGAACATGGTTAGTGACTTAGGACAATTATAATGACTTATAATATATGCATTGAGAATTTTATTCATACTTAATAATTTATATTATGCATAGATACTTTTAATATGCCTATTAATTTTGATTGTAGTTAGTCTAATTTATTTTGTGTAGTGACTTAGGACATACACAACGAATTTATTATGCTTAGTGATTTGCATTAAAATTAATAAATTTTTTATTTCTAATTTAATATATTTTGAAATGTTGTATTAGACATGTAAATTATTCGAAATTAAATAAATTATAACAATATATTTGTAAATTTTTATAGTAAATTATTATGGCTGAGTCGTCTTCATCCAAGTCTCCTCGGTCTTTATTTGAGCATGAGCTTGAGCCTACCGATCCCACCACACATGTTTTTCATGGACCATACATCTGGGACGTACTCAGGAGGCGTAAACATCGCACTCACGTTTCACAAGCTTGTAAAGAAAATAATGGCTGAATAGAAACACAAGATGGGAGGTGAATTGTGTGTAACTTCTTTCACAAGAAACAATCAAATACAACACCCTTTTTCAAGAAAACATGTAAACCGAATTCAATTTGAAAACAATCAATTCCCAACCGTTATACAGAATCAAAACTAGTTGTATACAACGAATATTAAAAGGATAGGGAAAAGAGAAGAAAACACCAAGATTTATCCTAGTTCACTCTCAAACCACCAATAGCTACTTCCAGACTGATGACGATCTGTTCCACTATGTTCAAGCTTCCAACCAGTGTCTGAAAAACCGATTTACAAGAGAAATTTTACAAGACCTACGATCTCCCTAGATCACGCTCAACCTGAACACCTTCAGGTTCACTCCAATTGTACAAAATGAATTTACAACAGTCCAATCTTTCAAAATAGACATAGGGAAGCCTCTCCACGTTCAGAATTACAAAGAATATCACAGAAATATTAAGAAACGAGAGAGATATTGAGCTTTTTCTCAAGAGTATGCAAATAGAGCCTAAATGGGGTTAATCCTTGATTTTTCTCGTTCTGGTGTTTTTCGATGTTAATTCTCGTTCAGAATCCCTAAGAAGTGTTTATATAGATGCCCAATTGAGTTACTATCCATTTATACCGTTGGACATCTAATTATATGGACAGCTTCAAGTTTCAGTCACTTAAAACATAAAGTAATTGTTTTCTCCACGATAAGTAATCAATTACTTCTTCAAAGCAATCAGGTAATCGATTATTGTTCATCAGGTGATCGATTACTTCTTCAACATACCCAGGTAATCGATTATCTCATGTAGTAATCAAATACTACAGAACAAATTTGCATTTTCACTTACAAATTTTGGTTCTAAGTGATACTTAGTGACCCCTAAATGATTCATAATCACTTCTAACACATGTATGAATATGTCTTATACCAATCTAACAACTTTCCATGTGTGTGTGATCTTGTATGCATAATCCAGCTATGCATGTCCATTATGCATGAGTTTATGACTTCTAAATGCAGTGCTCAAGTTAAAGCTCAATAAACTCATTCTCTAAGTTTATAAGACTCTAAAAACTTGTTACAAATAGTATACACATGAGTCTTCATCTGTCTTCACACTTTAAGCCTTGTAGTGCCTTTTATAGCTTAAATCCCTTGACTTTAAGTTTGACTTTGTACATTTGAGTAGTCCTTTCATATTTTCACTTTGTCCTGGTCTTTTAATGTCATTTAGGACTTGTTGTCACGCCTTCCATTGTGTGCCTCCATGTTGAGCTTATTGGTGCTTTGTTAGTGTTTTGTTATCATCAAAACTTCAAGAACAAGGTCTTGGTAACCTATGATTCAACAAGGCAGTGTGAAACGAGGAGACATATCGAGTGCTGATGATTTGCCAAGGAGCTAGATCTCTCAGGGGACCACAACTTGACGATATTTAAGACCTGGTTGCATAGTACCTGATTCAAGATAAATTCCACAGTAGATAATATGCTTCGTTGCCGATCCAAGATGAGATATATATTTGACCTCTGGGTAACATGCATACGAATGTTAGCGAGAAAGTATAACTAAGCTTCCAAGGTCTCACCCCCAACAACGGCAAATGCAAGTGGCAAACATTAATTATTTCCATTTGAATTCGTAGTAATATGTGATCCTCTCCTGAACCAATGCAATTAAGACAAAAAATACCATAAATTATGTATAATTACAAAATTATCCAATAACATACCTTGTACGGGTGAAGCAATAACATCATAATCAAGTTGTCTGTGATCATAAGAACTGTGGTCACTCAAGCAATTGTGATCTCCAGCCCATATAGTAACCATCCACTTTTCTTCGTATATTGGTTTGATTACCCTAACCTTCCACGCACAACCCTACTCATGTGCGTGACATTTCATGCTTAACGTTGTGGCGTGCTCTCACTCACAATCACTTCTCGATGCTCCTTTATGAGGTTCCATTTGATTTACATATGTGCCTATCTTCTTTATGCAAATTTTCGTTTAACAAATAACTTATCCCCTAATTGCCATGGACCCCGAACTGAACCTTCAGTACAAGATTCTTGTTCGCTCGGATGATCTCAATCAATGTATGTGTACTATGAAATTCCATCCCGAAAAAGGAGTAATGGCATCACCTGCATGCAATGTTATTAAAACTGGCCTGGTCATTGACCCGGTCGAGGTACCGGGTCATTGTTCAACCAATGAGTCATTGGTTGAACCGCATGATCCGATGATTATATGTAAATCTATAATTTATATTATAAAAATTATAAACATACTCAAATAGCTGCAATAAATAATATAAATTCTTAATATTTTAATATAAATATAATAAATTATACATTATTGTCCAATAAAGTATCAAACAAACATATAATGCTTGTGATACTGGTGTTTCAGATTCAGTAAACGACATCTCTAACTATAAATTAAATCAAAATTCCCTGCATAGTGCATAACTGAGATAATATTAGTATTGTAGGTACATAATCTATGTAAATTAATAAGCAACAGATCACTCAAATATGTCAATTATGAAAAAAAATTCGAATTTTTTTTCGAATTTTTTATTTTTGAATTTTTTGTTTTGAATAAATCGAGTCGGGTCACCGGCTAACCAACCTGGTCATCGGTTTTCCCCAAAACCGGTCGAGTCGCACTGGGACTAGTACTTGTCCGATCCAATGTGATAACCGGACCAGTCAGATGACTGGTTCGCTGGGTTCCAGGTCGACCCGACCGGTCCGGTCCGATTTTTACAACATTGTCTACATGTACGAAGTAATACAAGTAACAACATAAAAATAATTAATAAACGAAACCATGTATGTATATACATATTGTTTACTAATATACCTTCAGAATGTTGTAGGAATTGAGTCGAGACCATGTTATGATGTTCCGGAATCGAGACTCCCCCTAGATCATGATATTCTTGGATTTGAGTCGCGGGCAAACCACGACCTTCATCATTGTCCGAAGCACTAGCATCCTTGGCATTCTCTTTTTTCTCTATTTTTTTTTATTTAGTGGCATTTTTTATTACTTT